CTGCGGTTCAAACCCTGGACCACAGAACTCTTAACGCCTCGTGACTAACCTTCAGCTTCTCTTTCGTTTGTCAAGTCAGTGCCCAGATCCTATAAAGACAGGTCCGGGAGCCCTGGTGGTGTCGAGGTTAAGTGCTCAGGTGCTAACTGCAAGGTTGGCAGTTTGAACCCTCAGGGCCTCCACGGGAGAAAAGTCCTGGCCGTGTGCTCCCGTAAAGACGGCAGCCTAGGAGACCCTATGGGCCCGCCCTACCCTGTCACACGGGGTTGCTGTGATTCGGGACCAAGAAAGGGCCAAGGGGGCGGGCCTTTCTCTTGGCACCCTTCAGAGAAAGCACAGGTCCTCCTAATTGAAGCCACACGTCCATCCTTGGGTCGCCCCGTCCCTTCCTGCCCCACAGCTTTCCCTGCCGTTGGTGGTGGTGTTGGTAGGTGCCGCTGAGTCGGCTCCGACTCCAGCGACCCCACATGGAACGGAACAAAGCCCTGCCCGGACCTGTCCGTCTGCACAGCCATCACTGTGCCCGCCGTGGCAGCCGCTCGGTCAGCGCGTCTCCTGGGGCGTCCTCTCGTCCTCGCCGACCCTCCCCGAGCATGATGCCCTCCCACGGGGCTTGGCTGTGGCCGTAACTCTCCCACAGCAACTCTTAACTCCAGAGAAATGGCTTGACTCATCCTTTGGCAAACCCACCGTGAGGCTTCCCAAGCCTCGGATGTGTGTCTCACACAAAGACATGCCCTGCCCTCCTCGCCGACTCTGCAAACCCTCGCCGTCCTCCAGGGCCAGGCCGCACCCGGTCCCTCCTGAATCCCACGTGGACTGTTGACCGTGGAACACAGGCCTCTCCTCGGAACTCTGGTATCTAACTGAACCGCGGGGCTGTCAGGCCCATGACAGCTCGTTCGTTTTATCATCTGACCTGGTGAGTCCTACTGTGTCCCGGTGGGCTGTGACCACCTCGTCCCCTGACATCCTCCTTGACTTGCTAGCTCCCTCACGGGCTTCTGTCTCCGTCCCCTGCCCGAGTAGCAGCCCATGGCGACCCTCAGAGGCTGTCACTTGATTTTGGAGCCTTCCCATCACAGAAATGAACTCACTCTTGAGTGGAAGATCCCTCTTCCAGAATGGTTTGCTGTGTCAGTTAATGAGCGTCTGTTATCCCTCCTCTGGCCACTGCTAGTGGGCACGGGAGGCCCAGTGGGTCAGTTCTTCCCCTCCGTGCCGGACCCCCCACTCACAGCCTGTCCGTGGAGGCCTCCGTGTTGCTATGATGCTGGACAGGTTTCAGTGCCGCTTCCAGACGCAGCCCCGGAAGGAGGGCCTGGGGTGTCCGTCTGAAGTCCCCCACTGACAGCCCTGTGGGTCACGGGGCTCTGGTCGCGGGGATGGTGCTTCACTGGGCAGCACTTCCTCCCGCTGTGCGTGGCCTCACCATGAGGCAGCGGCCAACTTGACGCAGCTAACACTAAACATTAAAAAACAAAACAAAACTCACTGCCATCAAGTTTGTTTCTGACACACAGCAACCCCTATTGGGTTTCCGAGGCTGTACATCTTTATGGAAGTAGGTCACCCCGTCTTCCTTCCACAGAATGGCTGGTGACTTTGAACCTCTGACCTTCTGGTTAGCTGCCAAATGCCTTATCCAGTGCGCCACCAGAGCTTAACAATAAAATTAGTCATTAGGCAGTCAGGGTAGCACATCATACATTGAGTGTGCACTGTGTCCAGGGAGCCAGGCTGAGTACTTACATGAAAGACTCCAGAAAACATGAGAGATGAAGTTTGAAAGGGCATGAGTCCAAGTCTAGTTGTTGTGGTGGTTAGGTGCCATCAAGTCGTCTCCGACTCACAGTGACCCCACGCACAGCAGAACGAAACCCTGCCCAGTCTTGTGCCAGCCCCACAATCCCTGCTCTGCCTGAGCCCATCACTGAAGCCACTGTGTCAGTCCATCTCGTTGAGGGCCCTTCCCCTCTTTCGTTGACCCTCCACTTGGCCAAGCATAACATCCTTCTCCAGGGAATGGTTCCTTCTGACAACATGACAAAGTAGGTGAGACCAAGTCTGGCCATTCTCACTTCCAAGGACAGATCTGTTAGTTCTTTTAGCAGTCCACGGTGCTTTCAGTATTCTTCACCAGCACCACAACTCAAGGCATCAAGTCTTTGGTCTTTCTTATTCATTGTCCAGCTCTCACATGCGTACGAGGTGATTGAAAATACCATGGCCTGGGTTAGGCGCATCTTAGTCTTCAAGGAGACGTCTTGGCTCTTCAGCACTTGAAATAGATCTTTCGTAGCTGATTTGCCCAATGCAGTAGGTCTTCTGATGTCTTGATAGCTGTTTCCATTGGCGTTGATTGGTTAAAGAGTCTAGTTATATACGTAAAATTACTCCAAAGAGATCATCAGTAGTGTGGATGGATATTGTGAAAAGCGTGAGACGTTTACAAAAGGCCTTTAGGGTGTGGGGAAAACATGCCTGGGACAGATCCTGTGGGTTTTGAAGGAAGAGGGTCATCATGGCCCACAGAGGCACCATCCAGCCTGCTCTGCTATCTGTCATTTCCCCGCCACCAAGTGTCTGGTCACTGTGACCGCACAGTTCATCTCGGATCACTGACGACCAATGCTGAAAGAAGGAGTCAATCCCACTAGTGGAGGTTTTGGACAAAGAGTCTATACAAGAATCCTGATCAAAAGGGGGGAGACTGTGGAACAACATTTCAAATTCTTATGGAATCCAGATCTTCTAGAGCCATGGAGGTGGGGTGAATCCCCGGAACTATTGCCCTAAGATAATCTTGAAATGTTAAACCAGAACTGTCCCCTGAAATCTTCTTTAAGCCAAACAATAAATGAAAACCAAACCCGTTGCTGATGAGTTGATTCAGACTTAGCAAACCCGGAGGACTGAGTAGAACTGCTCCATGGGGTTTCCAAGACTGTCATCTTTACAGATGCAGACTGCCTCATCTTTCTCCTGTGGGGCAGCTGCTGGGTTCGAACTGCCGACCTTTCAGTTAGCAGTTGAGCACTGCCTAACAAGTGCACCACCAAGGCTCCTCAACCCAACAATAAAAACCAAAAACCTCAAACTTACTGTCATCGCTTCCGACTCCTAGTGACCCCTTCTTGGGTTTCTGAGGTGGTATCACTACGGAAGTAGATTGCCCAACCTTCCTTCCGAGGAGTGGCTGGTGGGTTTGAACCGCCAGCCTTCTGGTTAGCAGTCAGATGCCTTAGGCACTATGTTACCAGAGCTCCCAAAGGACTACCTAGATGGGGTCAAATTGACAACAGCGACTGGAAAGTTTCTATAGGAAGCTTAGGGGCAGGGAGTTTATGTTAATGGAGGAGGACAGCTCAGAAAAGGCGGGTCAGGATGGGTGCCCACCTTGAGGGCTGTCAGCAGTCACTGAACTGCCCATAGAGACACTGTGGAAGGTGACGCTAAAGAAGGTGTTGGTCCCGTGTGGACGGCCCCTCGAGTCACGCTTGGAAAGCAGCAGGTTGATTGTCTGGGTGGAGCCGAACTGTCCCTGGAGAATGACAGGAGGGAATGAGGGAGAAAAACAGTGAAGGGCGTCGGCGGGCTTTCCAGAAACTGTGGTTTTAATGGTTGGCAGCAGACGCTTTGTCATCTGCTTTTTTATGGGTCCCACAAACGTTTTTTAAGCATCTAGTGAACAATATGCCTAAGGCATTGACTGCTAACCAGAAGGCGGGCGGTTCAAACCCACCAGCCACTCCTCGGAAGGAAGGTTGGGCAATCTACTTCCATAGTGATACCGCCTCGGAAACCCAGGAGGGGTCGCTGTGAGTGGGATCCGACTCCACAGCAGTGCGTTGCGTTGTGTTTAGTGAACAGTAGCATGTTTGTCTGGTCACCTAAAGTTCTGAAGTTCAAGGCCACCCCAAGGGGCCATGGGAAAGAGCCCAAAATATCAACCACTGAGAGCCGTCCGGGGCACAGTTTCGCTCTGACACACGTGGGGCTGCGTGGTCGGAACCACCTCGGCGGCAGTGGGTCACCGGTCATGTGCCAGCGCAGTCCGCCGAGGCCCGGGGCTGCCCGCATGGCTATGGCACGGGGCCCACCTTTCCCTGGTGAGGGAGGGGGTGCTGGGACCCCAGCAAAGGAGACCGGTCTGTGCGGCGTTGGTCACAGCGGCCCGGGCAGAGGGCAGAGGGGGTGGAGGCTGGGTCCTAACAGGTGCGTTGAGGCAGCGAGGGGGATCCGAGACTCAGAGAAGAACCCTCTGCCCGAGAGGCTGCCCGGGACTGGCTCCGAGAGCTGGGCATGAGCGAGTTCACGCAGGGCCCCGCCTGGGCCGGGGCTTTCAGTGCCCTCAGCCTGCGGCTGGCGGCTGGCCCGCGTGGACCAGACCCTTGAGGCGGGAGAATGGGAAGGTGTTCCCTGAATCTTCTTTCCTTCCGTTTCCTGACTCCCAGACTCACTTGCTCTCTGAAGTGTGTCCTAAAACCATAATTGAAAAGAAGCTTTTTAGGAGCATGCCACACCAGACCCAGCTCTTGTTTTATTTAGACAGAAGCCTCCGAGGTCAGATGACGCGGAGCGAGTAAATCTCAGGGTGGAAGCAGAAATGAGGGCAGCCTGGGGCGGGGCGCTGATCGGAGGGCGGAGGGCACCTGCAGGTCGGACCGGGCCCCTGCGTCTGAGCCCGAGGCCTGTTACAGGGGCACCGGGCTGCATTGCTGTTGAACTCACCATTTCTTCTTCTTTTTCTCTTCTTTGTCCTTTTCTTCCCTCCCTCCCTCCCTCTCTGTCCCTTTTTCTCTCTCTACCCCCTCTCCCCACTCTCTCCCTTTCTCTCTCCCTCCCTCCCTCCCTCTCCCTCCCTCCCTCTCCATCCCCCTCCCTCTCCCTCTCTCTTCCCTCCCCCTCCCTCTCTCTCCCTCTCCCTCGGTCTCTATCCCCCTCCCTCTCCCTCCTGCTCCCCCCCTTCCTGTCCTTCTTTCTTTCTTTCTGTCCAGGATGACGGCCTCCCGGAAAACGAGCACCAGCTGTCAGTAGCGGGGAAGATAAAGAAGCATTTCAACACAGGCCCCAAGCCCAACAGCACGGCGGCCGGAGTCTCGGTCATAGCAGTAAGCATCTAACATAGCCGCCTGGGCTTGGCCCTGGAGGCGACCTGCCGGGGACGGGTGTCTTGGGGATCCCTCCCGAGACAGGGGAGCCGGTCATTGCTGTAGGCAGCCTGACCCCTTCGCGCGGGGTGGTGTCGGGCTTCTCTGGAGGCGCTGTTTCTGCGGCTCGTCCCCCTGGCAGCCCCATCATTAGTCCTTGCCCCCAGGCTGGCTTGCAGCATCTGTCAATTCCAGGATTTTTTAAAAAAGCATAGCTCACCTCCCCGGCAGTGGACTCACCAGTGCAAACTCGGGCTCCACAGAGAAGGTTCACAGTGTCCGTTAGCCAGAACTCAACCGGGGAGCGAAGCCAGGAGCCGCGTGGCAGAGAGCGTGGTGTGGTGGTGGTGGTGGTGGTGGTGGTGTGGTGGTGGTGGTGTGGTCGCGGCACAAGTAACACTCACGTTGCATGTTTTTTGCCAATCCTGCCATCTCCCACGTAGGTATTTTCATAAGCACACTATGCAATTTTGTCTACAATACCACATTAAAAAAAAAATTAGCATAGTGCACGTACGGAAATACCTCTCTGGGAGAGAGCGCCATTGTCAGAAAACACACGTAGCTCACAGTTTGCATAAATAACTAGAGCCCCTGGTAGACCACGGTGGACCCCGGATAGGAAGACCTTCCCTGAAATGGAACCTCCATGAACACGCCAGGAAGCCTTCATGTCTTACGACTTAGAAACTTCTGTTCTTAAAGTTGAAAGAGGTTTTGTTTTTGTTTTGTTTTGTTTTCACCCCTGCCATTTTGTGGCTGCACCGGTGGGCTCCGTCCCTGTTGTGTTCCGTGCATACGGGCCTCCACGGCGTGGAGCTGTGGGTGGCTCTCGCAGAGACGCGGTTGGGCAGAGGCGCGACAGCCGCACGCTTCCCTGTGTCGTGTTCTAGAGTCAGCCTCGTCACGGCCCCAATCAGCTGGGCTTTACAAGCCCCCCTCTTTGGAGAGCAGCGTTTTCAAATGTGTCAGCCACGGGAGGTGGCTCTGTTGTCCACACACGGACGTAGCAGAACTCTGAGCAGGGCTCCGTGCTGGTCAGCGCGGCCCCTCTTAGGAGCAGGACTGGCTGTCCGGCCACCTCCATGGCTGTTCTTATCTTCGTCCTCGGGTCCTTTCTGGTTCGGGTGGCGCTTCTGCTAAAGCCTCAGAGGAGTCGCTGATGTGTTGCGTGCAGCCGTTCCGATGACTGATTTAGGGAGTGTGCTGAGGTCCCTTCCTCAACGGTGCGCGGTACGAAGGGTGCACGTGCAGCCTCATGGGCTCGTACTGTTCGCCTTTCTTGTTTCTTGATTCAGCCCCTGCAGCGGTGGGTTGAGTGCGGTGTGTGCCGACATCTGGAGACAAAACCCAAGCCCGGCCCCCGGGGACCCCAGCAGCCCTACATAGGACGCCCTTGAACATGTCCCTCAGCGTGGCTCTTCGCAGCCTCTCTCCTGGCTCCTTCTAAGATAGTGGAACGTAGGGGCCTGTGGTCCTCACGCCTCCCGGGGACTGTCAGTGAGACGGTGGTTTCTGAAGGATGGGCCAAAGCTGTCAGCTGAGCCCATCATTCCCTGCTCCCTTCCCACTGCTCGTTCCAGACACAAGAGTCTTTCATGGCGTTGGCGCTCATGGTTCCGTTTGGGGCGGACACCACGCTGGTCCGTGCCCAGACGGCTGTTCCACCCCGTCTGTGGGTGACAGCCGCTAGAGAGGCCTTTCTCCACCCGCCGCGCTGCCTCTGACGTTGTGTCTTACCTTGCTCCTTCGTTTTCTTTCGTCTTTGCTTGAGTTTGTCGTGGTGTTCGGAGGGTCTTGTAACGGTGAAGGGCAGATTCCCAACAGTTGGACAGCCCAGGTTGAGGGGAGCCCTCTCTCGGCCAAGCCTGGGCAGGTGGTGAAACCTCTTCCTCTGGGAGTTTCCTCAGGCACCACCTCCATGGATTGGAAGACCCTGCAGTCCGTATTTGAAGGTCAGAGGTGTCCTGATTTCGCTCCACATGTCATCATTTGATCACTTTGAATGCACTGTGATATCTGTCGCTCATTCATTCCTGACATGCTTTCCACCACGGGTCCATATTGATAGGTTTTCAGGTGCGCTGTGGGCAGCTTGTTTGGTCTCAGTGGGAACGTTCCACTGCGAAGCTGAGAAAACACAGAGATCAACTAATTCTCCAAATAACTGGATAAATAACACCCCGTGTTAATTGTGAACAGGCTTTGTCAGTTCCAAAGTACAATTCACATGTCAGCTGCCGTCACTGCTATGTCACATGGGTATAGACTATCACTAAATTTCCCCACCAGAGCTGAGCCCTCCACAAGACCTTGGGCGGGGGGCTCCCATCTTGGGGGGTGGGGGGCAGGACTGGCAATTAGAAGCTGGTACGTTTCTTTCCCCCTTTGCCGTTATTTTCCGAATACAGCTGTAGAAGGCCATGCATTCTCCATAAACACAAACGTCTGTTCTTAGAACTGCAAGGACGGAGTCTCGGATGCTCACATGGGACCGAACGTCCCTGCAGTCCCTGCTGGTGAATCGTGTCCCAGCAAAGCCAGTGCGTAACTGCTGGGCTCCTGTGAGGCAGGATGGAAGCGGGAGGGGGAGGAGTCGCCTGTCGATGCTGTATTCTAGAAAGACCATCGACAGTTTAATGAGGCATATAATTATGGATTCGTTCACGTGAAGAAGGTTCTGTAATTAGTACAATACTCGGTGATGCCTGTGAGACACACTGCAGACAGTCTTTCAGACAGAATCCCCCCCACCTTGGGCACGTACTCTGCCCACAGGCTATAAAATAACGTATTTTACTTTGAACTGCCTCTACCAGAGAAGCAATTAGGGAAAATGATGATCACCCTTTGAAATAAATATCTATCTATACACACACATGGCTGGCTCCCAAAGACCAGGTCATTTTCTGAAAATCGACATTATGCAAAAATGGAGGATGACCACATCATTATATAACTGCCAAATCACACCGTTATATAACTGCCAATTCACACCCAGACCTAACTGCCAAGTCACACCATCACCTAATGCCAAATCACACCATTACGTAACTGCCAAGTCACACTGTTACCTAACTGCCAAAGCACAGAGAATTGTGGCCCAGCCAAACTGGCACAGCCTTAACCATCACAACCAACAGTACTCCTGCCTTGTACCTTGGTGTTCATTACTACCCTACCTACATCATTAATGCAAGAAATAGTTGGAGAGTTACTTTTTACGATTGTCATAAACATGAAGTGCCAGATAATGAGATAGCTGGTAAGGAGCATATGTCCTCATGGCCTAGTGGTTAAGTGTTGAGCTGCTAATCAAAAGGTCAGTGGTTCAAACCTCCAGCTGTTCTGTGGGAGAACAATGTAGCAATTCCATAAGGATGACAGCCGGAAAACCCTGTGTCCTCTAGGGGCGCTGTGGGTCAGAGTCAACTCCGCGGCGTGGGTGTGGTTGGGGCTTTGCTTCTGTGAAGATTGACAGCCTTGGAGACCCTGTGGGGCAGTTCCACTCTGTCCTCTAGGGGCGCTGTGGGTCAGAATCAACTCCATGGCATTGGGTTTGGTTTTGGTGTTTATATATATTTATAATATAGAGTCAATCAATACATTTCTCAGGGAATCAGTAATTAAATTATTAGTCTTTAGTTCAACTTTTTTCTCATTTACACACCTAACTCCGTGTGGTGGGCAAACAGTGCTTATAGAAGGGTTATTGGAGCCACTGAGGGAGATGTAAAACAGGCTATTAGAGCCAGCCAACGAGCCCCACATGGAGTTGATGCCACGAGTGTGGGTTAACTCGTTCCCTGGCTCTGAGCCTTTGCGTTTCTGGGTCCTGCTGTCTGTTTTGCCTTTTCTGTTTCCCAGCCCCTGCAGTCCCACGACTACAGAAAGGACAGGTGATGTCTTTACATGAAGGCTGCAAGAGGGTCTCCACTTAGTTGCCAGCTCACGGCTCCCAGGAGGCAGCCAGGCTTGGGAAAAGGAGCAAAGATGTGCTGAGGTGATGTGGTTCCGTGGACACCATGGCCATCCTCACAGCGGCCACGTTCTGCCTCTCGGAAAGCCTCCACTGTCCCCATCTGATCTTTCCCAGTCATTGAGGGATTTAAAAAAAAAAAAAAAAGTTCCCACAGAAGCACAGAGAAAGGGAAACAAAGGCCACGAAATGCAATTCATAGGTGTGGAAGGGCTTAGAGATGCCATTCCCACAGTGGACTCTGAGGGCTTAGAGATGCCATTCCCACAGTGGACTCTGAGGGCGCTGTTAGATTTGCTAAACTAGACAAAGAGCCACTGACAAGGTTGTCACTTGTCGCTGTTTCCCTCGTTTAATGCTGTTTGTTATTTTAACCAAAAACTTCCCTAATGCTTTAAAGCCTTTCTTTCGCATCTTCTTCATGCAAGTGGAGCGTTTCGGTCTAATTGAACAAATCCGTATGGCTCAGCCTGCAGTTAACAGTGATGCCGGGACGCCGAGGCGGCCCGTGCCGTGTGATACCACACGTGGTCTGAAGATGGCAGTAGAGACCCAGTTACCGCCTAGCTCTTTGGGCCTGCAAATGTACTTGGATTTTTTTTTTTTTTTTTTAACTAAATAAAAAGAAATGCACTTAAAAAAAAAGAAAGAAAGAAAAGACATTACAATCTCACATTGCCATGAACGCAGGGATAGCCGAGTTTATAATGACCTGATCCTCCGGGCACTCCTCACTTGAGATGCCTTGTTCAAAGGCACGTTTGTGAAATGCCCTTGAGTTTAGATCTTGTCAGCCTTGCATGAGCCCACACTGGGACACGCTGCCAAGATGCTTCCTGAAGGAAAGGTGTGCCCAGGCCTCCTCTCCCAGCCAGGCCTCCTCTCCCAGCCGGGCCTCCTCTCCCGGCCGGGCCTCCTCTCCCGGCCGGGCCGGGGCGGGCACAGAGCACCCGGGTCCTTTCCAGCACTGGGGACTGTATCTTATACTCCCCGGCAGCCCAAGGCTCCCATAGGACTCTAGGCCCAAACCTGTGAGGGCCTCCCGTCGTCCCCTGCTCTGATGCCCTTGTGTTAACCATCAGCGCTTCCCTGCACGTCTGTGTTGCCAGCAGCCATTGAACCAGACTTGGGGTTTGCTTTCACCTTAGAAGAGTTACTGTTAGGCTGTTTCCTTTTTCATTCGGAAATACAGCTGCCGGTCACCTTTAAGAAGGGCCCTGCTTTGAAGGTGAGCTTTCAAAGACATTCCAATTGCCATCATCCATGAGGATTTGAAGTCCTGACCCTTTTATTTCTTAGTTAAGGAGACCCTCCAAGTTGACCCTTACGGGGTATGGTATCTTTTAGGGTTCGGGGTTCTAATCAGCTTTCTCTTTGGTGGACTCAAACGGATTTTATTAGCTTATTAAAACGGAAGCACCTTGCACTCGGTGGCACGTGCCGAGGTGTTCATAGCTGTGCAAACTGAGACCTGATCAGAAATGCATTCAGAGCCTGCTTGGCCGACCAGGTCGATTCTGACAAGCTGCCCGTGGAGGTGCTCAGGAGAGATTAGTGTCTTTCCTTGCCGTGTGATTGGCAGCCTGGCACCCTGGAGGGCGCCTGCTGGTTCCCACGCAGCAGCGGCCCCGGGGCATCCCAGATAGCGCTCCCTGAGGGCAATGAATAGCAGCTTTGGTGGGGCGTCTAATTCCTCGGCGCCAAGTCGACCCACTGAGTTGCCCCGTTTCTCTCTGCTCAGCTGGACCACGGGTTCACCATCAGGAGATCAGGGTCTTTGGACTACTGCCAGCAACCAGGAATGTATTGGATAAGGTAGGACGTGGTGCAGCGCAAGTCAGTGTCTCCATGGCAACGTGCTGGCAACCTCCATTCAAAGCCCTCTCAGTAGATGAACGTGCTTCCGATTCGTTTCCCAGCCCATATGCTGCTTTCTCGGTTTCGTTTCAATCTCGAGATGCCACACCCTTCATTCCTTTCATCCTTCACACTGACATCCGCTGGCTTCCTTTCCATCCCACTCGCTCAGTATCGAGTCTCCTTCCGGTTAAAAGGACAGTATACGTAGTGCCTACGTCAAAGCGTTTTTCCCGCCCTCCCTGCAGCGCGGCTGACGGCAGCCGCGACCTCCGCCAACGGAGCGCGGCCATCCCTTCGTGGAGGCTGGAGCAGTACGTACTGTCATTTTAAAGCCACCGAGCCACCCGCGACCTTCTGAGTTGGATGGAGCCATGCATTGACGTTAGTTGTAGACCCTCCTCGAGCCCAGCCAGCTACCCACAATGCATTGTGTGTGTCACCTCTCCGTCTCGTTTCGTGACTGTTTTGGCTGGTCCCTCCTTCTCTCCCCGGAAGTTCTCTGTCCTAGCTATTGCATGAATTTACTTTTCAGTATTTTGTATCTGTTGGGTGACTTAGCTTATGTGCTTAAGCAGAGGCACTTGGGGAGCTAGAGACTTTTTTTTTTTTTTTTTTTTCTCCTCCTTAAACTGGGTGAAGAATTCTGCCCGGGCGTTTGCTGTTGCAGTCGGCGGCCCTGGCCTTACCCTCAGGGGCCTTGGAGTGCCCCACTTGACAAGCTTGGCTTCTCAGTGGTTTGAGGAATGAACTCTAAGATGTCCCTTTCTTCTCCATCTTGATGTTTCTGGAATGATCTGCAGGTGAACCGCCACGTCTTGGTGTTGGCTAAGAAAAGGTCTAGTGCATTCGTTTTTCCCCAACGATGGAGTCTCGGAGCCTGGCTATGGTAACATCGTGGCGGGCCAGACGCTGTTTTATGGACTAACCGGCTACAGTTTTACATACAGGCAGACCTCAGAGCTGTTGCAGGTTCGGTTTCAGACCACCGCAATGTGTCGTAAGGAAGCGAGGCACACCCGTTTGCTGGTTGTCTAGTGCCTGTAACAGCTCCGTGGACGCTCTGTGTAGTATGTGGAGTGGGCACTAGCAGGTGTAAGAGTTGAACACTGAGAATTCCCAAGATGGGACCCGGAGACGCAAAGTCAGTGCTTGCGGTTGGGAAAATGGCACCAGAGGCTTACTTGATGTGGGGTTGCCACAAATCTCCAATTTGTAGAAAAGGACAATAGAGTGAAACACAGTAAAATGTGTGCGTGTGTACGTGTGTGTATTTGTATGTATGTGCATATATACACATGTGCACATATATACACACACATACATGAGTTGGGATCAAAATTTTAAAATACATACGTGCGTGTATATGTGTGTGTGTATATATAAATATATATGTATATATGTACACACCACAAACAGACAGACACACCGCCGGCAAGTCGGATCCAACTTATAGCAACCCCTCCTTGGGTTTCCGAGGCAGTATCACTATGGAAGTAGGTCGCCCAACCTTCCTTCCGAGGAGTGCTTGGTGGGTTTGAACCGCCAGCCTTCTGATTAGCAGTCAAGTGCCTTAGGCACTGCGCCACCAGAGCTCCTACATACACACACATATATATGTATATATGTGTGTGTGTGTGTGTGTGTGTGTGTATATTTGTTGTTGTTGTTATGTGCCGTCGAGTCAGCCCTGACTCATAGCGACCCCTCCTTGGGTTTCCGAGGCAGTATCACTTCGGAAGTAGGATTGCCCAACCTTCCTTCCGAGGAGTGGCTGGTGGGTTTGAACCACCAGCCTTCTGGTTAGCAGTCAAGTGCCTTAGCCACTATGCTACCAGAGCTCCATATATATATATATATATATATATATATATATATATATATATATATATATATATATATGTTGAATTCCTAATAATTCCTCAGACTGTTATTACAGATTTAAAGACAGTTTCACACACAAGATCTGTGTCTTGTACCCTAACATCCATGTAGCACCCGGCCCAGCAACCCAGTTCCCCTAAGTGAATTTGCCTCCTAGCTGTAGAGAGAACTGTTGCTTCACTTTTGACCCTTCTCTTCTGGGGGAAGGGGTGGGGCGGTCCCGCTTTGCCTTTCAGTGGGCTGATGGCTGCCTCACACTGAGAGGACGCCCACCTTCCTTGTTGTCTGAAGGGCAGCGTGCACGCAGGAGGCTGCACGGGACACGTGCCGTCCTGCACGACTCCTGTCGCAGTGAATTTTTGCAAAATGAACATGACCCTATACACGGCACCCACATCAGACACAGAGAATTCCTGGCACCCCAGGATGCCCGGGGCTCAACGCTGGCCCGGCTGTGTCCCCAGGCTGGTTGTGTGGTTTATACACACCAGATTACACCACAACCCGATCTTTGCCAGTGGTGTGTCTCCTAACCTCAGGCATATTAGCCAAGCGTTTGAGTGAAGTGGGTATGCAATTGCAAACAGCCACCACTGCATCTCAGTACAGTTGTGTGTTTTTGTGCAACAAATATTACATAGATAAGTCATCTGGCTTAAAAAAAGAAAAGAAAAGAAAAAGAAATAGATGCACCACTAGGAGATTTAATTACGAAATGTGTACGAAAAACCTCCAATCCAGTGCAGTACTTAATAAATGTAGCCAAATTAAAAACAGCGATTTGATGTCCCCCATCAGCCAACACTTCCTTGAGAGATGGCAGTAACAGATGGGAGATAATCTCTTCCTTTCTTTCCCACATAATCTGCTCTGTTTTCCAGCTGGGGGCAGTAACAACAATGTTTATAGTCAGCACTGTGCTAAACGGCCTACGCAGTGTGTAAAGCTAAATGGGAGAAAACGATGCTAAAAACCGATGTGCCTGGATGCTTAATTAGGAAGTTTTATAACGCCATCAAGCGCAGGGTGAGCACGCATCGACCACACTGGTTGACTGCCGCTGCCAGCCTTTCATCTCCACGGAACCGGCTACGTGTCTGCCGGCGGTGGCAGCCAGCTTTCCAGCATGAACGCTCGTTCCGGGGTGGCGGTGTTTACACGTTTTTTCATCCCTGCGACCTGAAGGCTGGGGAGTCAGCTCACCTTCTGCAAAGCCGTTCACGTGGGATCAGACAGAGCCTGGGTAACCAGCCCCTTGGGGTGCCTGGATTTGAAGAGTCCCTCGTAACTGGCTTTTTGGTGACTGTGGTGACACGGTGGGCATCCATTTTCTTCTTTTTGTCTTCTTCATTCTCCTGCCTCGTAACAGAGGGGTGTCCCCCAACTGTAGGGGGGACAGCACACTCCGGGCTTTCTCTGAATCCAGGAGGCCCTCCCTGCCTATCCCAGAGTCCAGGGGGACGCCACCATGAGAAGGAGCTCCACGGGCCACCCAGAGAGCTACGACTGCTTCCTGCCGCCAAGACACCGGATCAAAGAAGCCCTGGTGATGCAACAGTTAAGCACTTGTTAGCAATTCATACCCACCTAGTGGCTCTGCAAAAAAAGAAAGATCCGGTGAGCCAATTCAGTAAACACGACAGCCTAGGACACCCTGTGGGGCAGTTCCACTCTGTCCTCTAGGGGCGCTGTGGGTCAGAATGGACTCCACAGCAGTGGGTGTGGTTTGGGCTTTGCTTCTGTGAAGATTGACAGCCTTGGAAACCTTGTGGGCAGTTCCACTCTGTCCTCTAGGGGCGCTGTGGGTCAGAA